ACGAGGCTTTTTGCTGTTGCCTTTCTCCCATTTCAGGGGCAAGGCCCTGTCTCCCTCTTCAGTCATCATTACTGACTCTTGTCCGTGGTCTCGAGATGAAGCGGTCTGTCCGTGCCAGCGCTGCAGCCCTGCATCCCCTGTGGGGACAGAGCAGGCAGCGGGAAGCCCTGGGGCTTGCGGCGGCTGCTGCTCAGCAGGTGAATGGGGGAAGAGAGGAGGAGGATGGAGGAAGAGTGGCTGGAGCTCGTGCTCGGGATGCTCACACGTTTTATCGGTGACCCCTTCAAACCTGGGCTGGCATCTGTTGCTGCCAGCGCGGTCCTGGCAGAGGGCCTCCACTCGTCCTTTCTGCAGTCATCCCCGCGACCCGCCGCTGTGGCATGCTTCCAGGAAAGTCATCAGGTACTAAAAATAACCGGGGAATAGCTGATGGTGTCTTCTCTCCACACCTTAGTGGAATTAGCCATGAGGCTGACTCCAGCCATGACCGCCGCTGCCTGCGGTCGGCTGCTCCCCTCTCCTGTTGGGCAAGGACAGAATTCTGCTGGTCTCCTGGATGGGGCTTGGAGGTCATGGCGCTGTGGCCGTTGCTCCATGGCTTCGCTGCCATGCTTGCTGGGCCATCAGAGGCGGTTTTCCTCTTTGCTATGAAAGCAAGTATTGACAGGCCAGTCAGCTCTTCCAGCACTGGTTGCATTCATTGCCTTTTGCAGGCACGGTGTCAGATCCTCGGCACGGCTTCGCTCAAGTCTCCGGGTGAGTAGGGGCCATGGATGTAACTTTGCATTAGAGGGGCTGAAGTCTTCCAGCTTTGCTGCTCTCCTCGTCCTCGAGTGGGAGTGAGGAGCTGGTGTCTGGAGTATCTGTAGGGTACAGCACAGCCCTCCCTCTCCTTATCTGTGAACCGATGAGGGGTGCAAACACCCTTAACTTCCTCCGACAGGACAAGCCAGGATTTCTGGAGTGTCCCACAGGAGAGGAAACGCCAAGAGCTTGCTGTGTGCGCTGCGATGGTCTTCTGTCCATTGCATAGCCAGAGAACTGGGCTTGCAAATCCCTTGGCTGCTTTTCTCCCTCTCCACCTCTTTATTTGTTGCTTATCATTCAGGATGTTGTTCTCTTCGCCGGCCTTTCCTGCTAGATGACGCAAAGCCAAGTGATGTAGGGCTCCAGGGAGGGTGGGTGAGCTGACTTGGATCTTGCTGATTCAGCTGGGCTTCCTTGGTGGTCAGGTCTGGACGTCACAGCTGCAGGCTTGCTCCGGTGGGGCTGTGGGTCATAACCACCTAAGAAAACCCCTTGGGTGTTCAGGACACCCTGTGGCAGGCAGAGGAGGTGGTCTGGACAACCTTCGGTGTTAAATAGCTGCTATATTCTGGTCTCTGTCGGAAGGGACCTGTGCTTCGTGACCTTGTGTGCTGGCTTGCAAAAGGCGAGATGCCCTACCTCAGCAAAGTGCCTTCAGTTCTTTAATCAGTGATGGCGGCGTCCGTAACCTTGCTTGTAACAGCTCTCCCAAATGACTATGCTTTATCATCCATGCTAAACATATTCAGCCCTGGAAACTAATGATGGGGGAGGTGTCTCCATCCCTGCTTGTGGAAAAGGGGCTCTTCTATGTCTCGCTGGTGTGGGGGCTGCGTGCTTGGGGTTCCTCTGCCACCAAAGCCCTCGTCGTCTCCTTGGGTGCGTGAAGTCCTTTGGCTGGAAACGCTGAGTGCTGTGGCAGTGTGAACCAGGTCCAAGGGCTGCAGCTGGGGACGTAGATTTGACTCTGCTCAAGCTCTGCTTTTCTGCTCTGGACTTATCTCTGCTTTTAATTCAGCTGTTGCATGTGTGACTCTCGCCCTCTAATTATAGGTGATGTGTTGTGCTCAACTTTCCCTTCTGGGAAACTCATCTGCATGTGCGATTAGGGGTGCGCCTGCTCCGTGCCCGCCTTCGTTAGGAAGTGGGATGGGATTCCCCTCGCCTTCTCCCTCCTCTCGCAGCTTCAGCTTTCCTGGCTGAAGCCCTGATGAGATTAGGAGTTCACAGAGGGGACAACGACCGGGATTCAAGGGGAGATGGTGTCTACTGTCCTCTCTAACTGCAGTTGCCTCTTCTCTTATTTATAAGTGCAAGCAAACCGGTGCTAAAAGCTTTTTTCCCCCTGTCCTTCTCTGTCTATTGCAGTCAGACTCTCTCCTGAGATATCTCCCTGCAGCGTGCTTTCTCCCCCCAGAGCTACTTCTGCATCTCTTGGCATTTCTCACTTCTGGACCCAGTTCTGTTTAACATTGTTATCAATGACCTGGGCGAGGGGGTTGAGTGCACCCTCAGTCAGCTTGCAGATGACACCAAACTGGGTGGGAGTGTGGATCTGCTGGGGAGGAGGGGGGCTCTGCAGAGGGACCTGGCCAGGCTGGATCCATGGGCCAAGGCCAGTTGGGTGAGGGTCAACAAGGCCAAGGGCCGGCTCCTGCCCTGGGGTCACAACAACCCTACGCAATGCTACAGGCGTGGGGAAGAGTGGCTGGAAAGCTGCTTGGCAGAGAGGGACCTGGAGGTACTGGCTGACAGCCAGTTGAGTATGAGCCAGCAGGGTGCCCAGGTGGCCAAGAAGGCCAGCGGTATCCTGGCTCATATCAGGAGTGGTGTGGCCAGCAGGAGCAGGCAGTGACTGTGCCCCTGTCCTGGGCACTGGGGAGGCTGCCCCTCGAATGCTGGGGTCAGGGTTGGGCCCCTCCCTCCCTGAAGGACCTGGAGGGGCTGGAGCATGTCCAGAGGAGAGCCACAAAGCTGGGGAGGGGTCTGGAGCCCCAGGCTGCTGGGGAGCGGCTGGGGGAGCTGGGGGGGTTCAGCCTGGAGCAGAGGGGGCTGAGGGGAGCCCTCATCGCTGCCTACAACTGCCTGAGAGGAGGGGGCAGCCCTGGGGGGATTTAACAGCTGGGCAGAGGCGGTGCTGAGGGCCAGGGTTTGGGGGTGGGATGGCAGGGGTAGGGGGGTGGTTGGGCTGGGGGAGCTTAAAGGGCTTTGCCAACCCAAATGATTCTGTGATTCTGCGATTCTGCAAGGACTTGATTTATCTATCTTCCTATCTCCCCTTCTTTGATATAACTGGAGTTGGGGAAAAGAACCAGGTGTCCATGAGCTCTCTGCAGGTGATGTGAGGATCGGAGATCCCCTACTCACTTTGGATATTGCTTTTTTTTTTTTCTTCCTCAGCAGGGTGCTATCAGGTGTCCCTGTTTGGAGTCGCGTTTTGGACTCATGATGACCTGTGAATCTCTGCTTTGGTGGGCCGTAGCTTGCTCATTCAATCCAGTTGGGTGGGTGGATCCTACGGGTATCAATTTGGCCTCAGAAGGGCGCTGCTTTGGAAACAGGCTAGCCTGTGTCTTCCACGTGGTGTGGTTCCTTACCCTTTCTGCTCCAGAATAACCCAGAAAGCCTCATAAATTCCTCCAGATGCTAATTCTTGGCTGTTCACGGTGCATTTTTTAACCAAGGCGGCTTCTAGCTGCACTCTCTTGAAATGTCTGTTTTGTGGTAAAGCAAAACCCCATCACTGATGCTGTCACTGGAGAAAAATGTATTCATTACTATTATTATTATTATTTTTAGGAAAGATGCAATTTCACCTCATGCATAAAATTAGTTTAATGAAACAGCAGG